ATCACTCTAGCACGCGTGATCATGAAGTAATCAAATTAGGTGGTTGACAACTTGCCGACGCATTAATGAACATTTAAATGAGATCATGTGGTACACGGTCAACACACACCCACCGTGTTTCTTAATCACAAACGTTGGAATCAAAAGTAATTAAATCGCGCGCTCCAGAACATGACACCCAAGCGTCTTCAACCTCCAGAAACCCTAAAAAACACACAGCCGACCGGAGACACTATTCATTATCCTCTCCGGCAGAACTCCACCGCGCGCAGCACAACAACAACAACATGTAACATCAATTCTCAACCATTTTGCACAAATTTTATATCAAATTTTATTTAGAGATCACGAGGATCTCAAATCCAGCCTAAAAAATCATTAATCTTGCAGTATAAGAGCAAACCGAAGCCATTAAGTTAGTGCATCAAAATCTCAAGTTCATCAAAACTCCTCCAATTTGGTTTAAACATCATCTAGAGATTATGTAGGTTACATATCCACCAACAAACAAACCAAAACACGCAAGAACAAGCCAAAACAGATCCAAACATTTTTTAGCATCATCCAACAATCAACACCAATGCCAGTTCGTTTTACATATTAATGATCTACATTGTTTCTACGTCTCAAATATGCAAAAATGACAATGAATCAATGCATATCCAGAGTGTAAGGTTGATTTGTAATTACCTAGTGGAGAACTTCCACTGAGCCTTCAATTGGAGCTTAAGCTTGCAGAAAAATATCCAGAATCGTTCAATAAACTTCAATAGAGCTTTTGCAATTCACAATTTGGCTTGAAACTTGCTAATTCTCCAAATTCGAATTTTTAGTTTCCACCACTTTTTGAAAACTGTTCTTAAGCAATTTGCCTCCAATTCTCACTTCTGATGATTTGTGAATGATCAAAATCTTATATGTGATAGATCTTGATAAGAATTAAGCCCAATCTCAGCCTCTAACAACCCAATTGAAAATCCAAGGAATTGAATTTTGAGCTCTCTTATGTGCACGAAAATCCCATTAATTTGGCTCCAAATTGGCTCAAAATGCTTGCTGGTAACACATGGAGTGTGAATGGCTTGGATTAACTCCTTGTTTAATCTCAATGGTTGATGTTTGTTGTGTAACTTCATGATGAAGAAAACTTGAAAATGGCTCATCAACACTCATCCAATCCAAATTTTATTAATGCCAATGTGTTTAAAATGTAGTTTGCACTAAAAAAATGCATTCATTTGCACAAAAATGTTCAAAAATGAATTAATTCCCGTTTTGCCCTTTTAAACATTCTTCCATGAAAATTCTCCCTTCAATTCTTCATTCCAAGCCTAAACCATGACTTCTCAATGCTTGGTCAAACAAATAAAACCTCTTTTATGACCCAAAAAGAAAACATTGAGATGTTTTATGACCCAAAAAGTTATGATACTTACAAAAACCTCTTTTCTTTCTTTGCTCTAAAGTAGGAATTTTAGCATTGGGAGGCACTATCATTTGATCATCCTTAACTAACAAGTCAAAGATTTTGTCACACTTGGTGACGTCGAAGGTGTAAGTTTTCTTAGGGAACCTATCGTTTTCGTATGGTTCGAGTGGGTTCTTCCCGTTTGATTTGGCTAAGACCTTACAAGAATAAGGGGCCCTTGCTTTAACTCAGCGAGATCAATCTCACTTTCGTTGAAGTTTGAAGGCTCATTATATTGTCCCTCATCATCTTCATTAAATTTAATGTAGGTCACCCTCTTGTTTTTATTTTCTCTAGCCTTTTCCTCCTTTAAGCGTTCTAATTGTTGAACTCTATCAGCCAGTTGGGCCATATCTCTCAAGTATTGGGTATCTAGTTTCTTCCTAATAGAATAGTCTAGACCTCCAGCAGCCATTTTGACCAATTTGAGCTCTGGCACTTGTGTAAAACACCTGGCTTTAAGTAAACAAAATCTATTCAAATAATCATCTATTGGCTCAGTAAACTTTCATTTGATACTGGCCAATTCCTTCAGGCTAATCTTGGTTTGTCCCGTATAAAATTGTTCATGGAACAACCTTTCTAACTTAGTCCAATTATGGATCGAATTTGGTGGCAAGGTTGTGAACCACGTAAAAGCATTTTTGGCGAGAGAACTTGGGAAATGTTTTATCCTAAGATTTTCATTATTCGAAGTCTCTCCAGCCTCTATCAAATATCTAGCCACATGTTCTACAGTGGGTTCAGTGGTATCCCCAAAAAACTTAGTGAACTTAGGAACTTTTCATCTAGAGGGTAGGTCTGATTGTAAAATATACTTTGATAACAGCGAAGTATAATTTGGTCTCCGAACACCAAAGTTTACCCTATTTCACGCCATTATCCTTTCGACCATGGCTACTAGATTATTATCCGTGGCCATATCATCACGTTGAATCTGATGTACAACATTATCAACATTCTGGTCCCTATTCACCATTAATACCCTAGGTCTCTCCTAAATAGGAATTTGCGGTTGGGCTCTAGGAGGTTCAATTATAGGCTGTTTGACCGCTACTCTAGCATTGACTAAATTTGCATGGGGCGGGTCTCTTTGGTTTTGCTAAACCTGATTAATAATAGGATCTTCTTCGAGGACTATTCCCTAATTTGCCAATGCGTATTGCCTTTGCTGATGTCGAGGAGGTTGTGGCACTCAAAAAAATTCGCAAGGCGTGTCATCTGCGCTGTCATTTGTGGGTTGGATTGAGTAGTGCTTTGTATTAGGGGATTAAAAATCTTCTCTATTGTTTGGGCCAACATTTGAACCATTTCATGGTTACTCTCATCCATTTGTTGCCTAATGACTGCTGCAGAATTATTGGTCAAGTTTGGCATTTGGGTGGAATAACCAAATTCTAAAGGTTGGCTATTTAGATCCATGTTTATCCTAGATCCTGATCCTTGTAATGGTGAAGTAGCATTCATTATAGGTTTTGAGAATGTTGAGACGGCGTTATACGAATTCTCCATCATGGATGTGGCATTCTACAAGGTTGATCTCGATTGCCTAAAGGTATAAAGAAACCTGAGGGCATGAATGGCCTATTATAAGCATTCCCCAAAGGTGGAGGGGTTACTGGAGAGCCCATTGGCCTAATATAATTTAGAATGGGCATACTATGGGTAATCGACTGCGCGAGCATCGAACTTGACATGGATGACATTGGTTCTGACACAGTCATTGGGACCATTGTTCCCCCAATCAAAGATACTTGGGGAGGTTCACGATTGTTAGTCGATGAACTTTGGCTGATTTGAATTCGCCATTCTCCTAGTATATCTTCTTCTTGGTCTATCCTCGTTATTGGTGGCTACTTTGCCACTTCTTAATAACATACAACGAAGTCTTCAAAGAGAAAAAACAACAAAACGGAATTGCAACAAGAACACTACTAGCACAGTCCTACTGGGCGTGCCAATTTTTTTTACTGTGAAAATTAGTAAACAACCGCTGGTCTTTCTAAATTGAAAAATAATTGGGTTACATACAGGATCGACCATACAAATTCTAAGACATGTGCTAGTAAATCTTAAATTAAAGTTTGGAAAATGGTGAATATTTCGACAATACTCATGATCTAACAATTATCAACTTCGAAAATTTAAAGGAAGTAAATTTCAGAAACTTAATCAAAAGCAATTAAATGCATTGAAAATTAACTTGAACAATAAAAAGATAAACTTTGTAGTAAAAAGATAAAATTTGCATTGAAGTGTAAAAAGTATGGTGTTTGTCAAACGTACATTTCTCGACACACTCTTTTCTCTGCACACGGATACTTTGAGTAATTTTAAAAATTTTGTACAACTTTGAACACACCGATCCTAACGCTTGGACCTTCTATTTATAATGATAAAAAATAACCGACCCTAACGGTCTTCCTATAACTATATGTCAAGTGGCGCTCGACATGTCTCCTTTTTCTTGAAAAAGTTCCACGTGTCTCCTTCAAAAAATTTGGATAAGAACAAAAGTTCTCTCCTTTATTTGAATTCAAATCACATGTCGAAACAACATCACCATCTTCTGTCGAACCAACTTCTAGGAATTTAAAATATTTTTCTTCAAATCTTAATCAGCATATCCTCCTTACACACAAAGGTAGCTTCGACCAAAACAAGCAAGTTTCACAACTTTATCGAAACCTCTCACAACTTCGTGTAACTCTCTATATTTTTTCTATTAATTAAAACTAACAGTCGAATTTGGGAGCTAGTAGCCTATTAAGAAAATACTTTGGGTCATGAGGAGAAACATTAATATTGGGTTAAGAGCATGATAAATGAGACACCACATATTCGTCTAAAACTTTAAGGTGATAGGTTTGTGGGTTCCCCCACTTATAAATGCTCAACTTTCCACATTTATAACCAATGTAGAACTCCAACTCACACTTGATATATTATTCTCAACATTCTCCCTCAAGTGTGAGTCCACAATGCTCCCCTTAAGTAGAAACTCTTTTGTCCACATATATTTGTACCGACGTTGACACCTCTTCCTAGGCATTTCGATACACCTCTTCCTTGGACATTTCGATACACCTCTTCTTTGGGCATTTCGATTTCAACGAGACGCCACTTTCAGAATATTTCGATACATGTAAGTTGATCCCTTTACTCGAACGAGACTCTAATACCATATGTTGGGTCATGAGAAAAAACATCAATATTGAATTAAGAAATTCTCATCTAAAATAACTTTAATCCTTTTGAAATCTTCATATAGATGTTCCTGCTAATATAATGTCATTGCCCTATACATGTAGACAAGTGAAGTCATTTCCCTTTTTAAGGATATCAACAGAATATTCTAATTAAGATTGATTATATTCTTTATTTTTTTCAGCAACAACAAAGTCAATTTTAATATAGATATATTGATACTCAAAATATCTTATAATTAAGGATGGAATAATACAAACAAATCAAATCGCTAACATTACTCTGAAAATTAAAACACACAATTCTTCCCTTATAGCCAGCGATATTAGTAGAAACTGGAATTAAAACTCCAAGAAAGAATCTTGTGCAATTCAACTAACTGTCCAGTGGCACCAGAGAATCCAATTCTAACCCATTCAGGTAACACGGTCCTCAAATCAATCAAAAAAGACACACTACTTGAAATTCCATTCGCACCATAGCTTCCGGGTGATGTTACAACAACGCTTAAATTTTTCGTCACAGGTTCATAATTTACAACAGCAATTGCAATGAAACCCTTCGCAACACTAGTGTTCCACGAAGCTGTTGTTACAGAAGCAATAGAGTTCACATCAATGCCGATATGAGAATAAACAGGATCCCAAGGATTCCCACCAAAGGAATCAAATTCAACCGCAACAATTTGATTTTGGTACGAATTCAAAGCTGTTTTGGAGTCGAATAGTCCAAGGAATCCACCACTTGAATTTTTCGGAATGTGGGAACTGAACGGTGCAACGAAGAATGCGATTCCGTCTCCCAAGAGTCCAGGGCCGTTTGGTGCAACTACGAAAGAGAAGACGGAAGTGAAGGCTGCTAGGTGACCGTTTTCTGCATTCCAAAGATGCACTGGTCCGGTATAAGAGGCTCTACCAGCGCTTTTTGGGACGAGACCTGTGAGATAGACGGAGTCATTTGAAATGAAGGCATTGCCTTCCAGTTTAATGTTGTTTTGGTAAGGCTCAAATTCAGAGATTGTGAATGAAGCTGAGTTTACATCCTGTGACAAAATTAGGAAGGAAATGATGGCGATGAAAAGGATTTTAGTCCTTGAGGAGTTATTGATTGCCATAGTTCAAATTTAGAAATTTAGAACTGAATATTAATGCCAATGCTATGAAATATATTACAAGCATTTAAGTGTATATATAGCGATAGAAATGTATAACAAAATAAGAAAGTGAGATACAAAGGCAGGCCAGGGCCAGCTAAAGAAACATAATATTTAAATAATGTTAAACCTAATTTTGCTTTCAATTTTTTTTATGAGATTTAATTGAGTCCTTCCGACAAGATTTTGTTGAATCTCAGGACAAACATTGTTAAATTTCTCGGGCAAAATTTTGTTGAGTCTCATAGACGAGACTTAGTTAAATCTCATACGAGATTTAATTGAGTCCTTTGAAAAAGATTTAGTTGAATTCCTCAAACAACACTTAAGTGAATCCCTCAAAGATTGATTACTTCAAGTATTTCTTAGGGGCTCAATTCTTTGTTTTTAGTATGCTATTCATATTCTTTCCGTTTGCGGGACATTTTGTAACCCCACCATACAGGGGTTTTTCTTTAATGACTATGTCCACGCCTTTTGCGGCTTGTTTGTGTTATTCTTAGTGTGGTATCATTTCTGTTGTAAGTAGTATGAGTGACATATTAAGGCGTCAATGATTCGTCTACAAAGATGTAACAATAGAGTTTTCTCGTAGGGCAGTAAAGATCTTTTAATGAAAATTTAGCGGTACGATTATTCAATAAGGCGGCAAGAATTTTTCTGTAGAAGTCTAGCAATATAATTATCATGTATGGCGATAAAGATCTTTCTATGGAAGTCTAAAAATATTTTCTATGAAAGTCCAGGAATATAATTACCCTTTAGGATGATAAGGATCTTTCTTTGGAAGTCCAACAATATAATTAACCTGTAGGGTGACAATAATCTTTATGTGGAAGTCCAAAATATAATTAACTCGTAGGACGACAAAGATATTTCTGTGGAAGGTTAAGAATATAATTACCCCGTAGGGCAGCAAGGATCTTCGTGTGGAAGTCCAACAATATAATTACCCCTTAGGACGGCCGAAGTCTTCCTTTTGAAGTCCACCAATATAATTTGACAGTCAACCATAATAACTTATTGCAAATGCCATTATCTGTTACAAGAGTTTTCGTAAATCGGTGATTCACCCTTTGACGAATTCTCGACAAGTGTATCGATTTTTCGAATTAATAATTAAAAATATCGTCTCCATGAGAAACATAATTTAACAAGATAATTATGCGTGAATTTAAGTAATTAAATGAAGGAGTTTCGTTAGAAAATTGGTTATAATTAAAACACGAACAAGAAAACTTAAGGATTCACTTCAATGCGGGAAAAGAGATTAGGTCTTTTATATCGAATCCCATTATTTTTACCTGTTCATAAACGGTGTATTTATTTAGTTTCAATTACATTATTATCTCAATGTGAATTAGTTAGACGATAACGTGGATCTAAAAGGGGGAGTTGAATAGATCCCTTGCTTAAAAGAGTCGGCGCTACCAATAAAATTGGTTTTTAAAAAATGTTTAATTTGCGGAAGCTGCCGAGGAATTTATACCTTCTAAAATGAAAGGTTATTAGAAAATCGGATATGCGTTTAAGCCTTATGGAATCCGATAACGAAATATGAGAATCACTACGCTAATCACACTATCAATTTGATTCAGCTCACTATATGGTGTGACTAGTTCCAATGCCTTAACAATATTAACACAATGAAAAGACAACACATAAGGCATTTGGTTCAGACAATTTATCAAACACTTGGCGTACAGAGCACTACAAGTGAGTTCCGCTTTGAGTGAGTTGCTACAAGTTTCCTTGTACAATCAATGATTGTACAAGATTCAAAATCAGTTTAGCACTACTCAAACCAGACCTAAATTGATATAATTGTTTGCACTAAAACCACAAATATTAAGCAATGTAAAACGTAAGGCAAAAGACACAACGATTTGTTGAGGAAGTTCCGCCGTCGTCCTCGCTCGGGGTACGTCTGTCATCAATTCTAATAATAGAATTGAGACCTTATAATATATAGATTTAACCTGTTGTTGAATGTATATACAAGAAGTGAATAACAATCAAACAAACAAACACTCTTGTTGTTATAGATACTATCTCCTCTTGCCCCTTATTCGAGTCGAATCAAGTCCTTCGACAGCTTGTGAATAAACCTCTGATTGTGGCACTATCTCTGAAAAACCTTTCGTCTTCAAAATCTGGCCCAGCTGATTTCAATCACCTGCGTGTCGAACCCGAAACTCTCCTTCACAATCCTCCGTTTACCGTTACTAAATCGACGGAATCCACCAATCCTCGATTACCTTCACTCGGCTGAATATGTGTTGAGACGAATCGTTCAAAACCCCTCAAATTCAGAGAATCTTGGAGGACAAAACCCTAGAGGTTTCATTCAAGAAAAACCTGTCAATTCCTCAACCCGAACCGAATTACCAAATCAGCGGCTTCGAACGTTATCACCTCTAACAATGCATAATGCATAACAAATATTATTATGTGTGATTGTTGTGGTATGCTATGAAGAGAATGAAGATGATGAGAACCGAATCGACACCTATTTCACTTGTTTTTCTCAATGTTGTGAAGAGAAACAAGCAACTGAATATATATACCAAACATAACTGTCATAACCACTAAAACCACTTTCCAAAAATAATAGACATAACAGAAAAATGGCATAAAACAGCGAGCGGTCGACCTATGCAGAGTGCAGGGTCGACCTAAGCTGACCTGGATGAAAAGATTGTGCAAATCACACAACCATGTATCGACCGGAACAAGGCATGCGTCGACGCATAGCCTGAATTTTTAGACAAATAAAAATGCGAGCAGTATGAGTCGACCGGTAGGTCGACGCGAGCACACCTGAAGAAAATACAAAAACTAGACACATAGTATGAGTCGACCGGAACAAAACTTTGGTCGACTCAGACCTGAAATTGCTAAAAATGCATAATTTTATACTCTTGACTCTTTTTTATGAGATCTATGATATGGCAAACGACACCAATGATGTTTAACACATATGACACATATTTTGACAACTCTATATGCAACAACTGAGATATTTTATGCAAGCAATTGAATCATGAGAAACGAGGTATGCAAATGCAACATGCTGATAACGCCCAACATTGATTCTTCTATGAAGTTAAGTTTTGACATCATCGAAACGAGCACATCTTATATATGAGGTTTTGCCCTCACATACTCCTGCTTTTTGGTGATGGCAAAACACATAGAACCTGACTGTATGATCTGCGACATTATCCTCCCCCTTGCTTGATTCCTTCATTTCTACTCACTCGTTTGCATTAATGCTAAGTCTTCACTTTTTATCTTTATGGTTCTACTGAAAATGCTTGACACTTTCTCCCCCTTTGACAATATCAAAAAGAAAGAAATACCTGTTGTTGCGGTGGAAATAGGATATCAAATTATTAATTAATTTGAATCACAATTCAATTCACAACCGCTTTTTGATTTATCCGAAGGAAAAGGTCAAAAAGGGAAAACCTATTTTGCATCGTAAACACAATGCGGGGAAAGATCTAGGGTTCGGGGGTTGGTTAAATTTAGGGAAGGTATTAGCACCCTAAACTTCTGTAGTACTCTACAGGAACCTTTTGTTCAAATGTTTACTATTTGCTTTATTTATTTGCTTAAGGTATATGTACAAAGGATTAAAAGTGAGAAAAGAGACCTAAGGGGTTAATTCTAAGTTTACTCGGCAAGACATCGCATCTTGTGCCTACGTATCCTTACGGGAGTGGAATCAGAGTATTCGTAGTTCCCCTCAAAAGGGAGGTTAGAGACTTCTTGACTGTGGTCAAGGTCTCAAGGGGGATAAACATGTCTTAAGGACACGCTTACGTGGAGTGTAGAAACTCCAAATCTCTACGTTGAATTGTTAAGTTGTAATTAGGGTTAAATTAGGGATTCCACGGCGGGAAACCCTAAAATGAGCGCGGCGGCTCTTTGACCTAATGCAAAGGGGTAAAATTGTAATTTGTCCTGCGGCGAGGCATTTGTGAAAATTAGGGTTTGTAGTTTGTAGTTTTGAGGATTTGAAATTGAATGTGTGAAGTTTTACGGACTATTGGCGCGGCGGCCAAACAGTTAGACCTAACCTTCGGATGTGTGCAATGTGACAGAAATAATGGTAAACGCGTGAGATAATTGAATCATGCAAACAGAGAGATAATGTCATAATTTAAACCATGCAAGCAGAAATTTAAAGGCAGAATTTAAAGAGCGATTGTTAAGTTCGCGAGGTTACATGAGAGGAGCAGATACAATATGATAATGAAATTTGAATTGAACAATAATAAAATAAAATAAATAACGGTGCTAGTTATTATTTTAAAAAAAAGATTTTAGTTATTATTTTGAATTTATCTAAAAAAAAAGTTTTTCTTAAAAATAATAGGTTTTCATATTAATTTGGAAAAGATGTTAATATTATTTATTTTAAAAAACAGATTTTTATATTATAACAAGTTTTAATAAATTAATGATAACAATAATAATAATAATGGTAATAATAATGATAATAATGATAATAATAATAAATAATGATAATAATAATAATAATAATAATAATAATAATAAAGCAATGATGAATTTTAAATGTGCCAAATAACCCAACAATGTTGCTAACGCAGAAATGCGCTCATCGCAACCAGATCTAAATCGGACGAAACAAAATTTATCGCAAAGAAAAAGAAATTAAGCAAAAAATAGTATTACTGCTCACACAAAAATGCGATCATCGCAACCAGATCGAACTAACACAAATGTCACACGTCATGCACACAAATGTGCAAACATCGTATCGACATAATTCGATCAAAAATTAATCTTATATATATAAACTCTAACAATTTAAAAATTATATATATATATACGTAACAGTAATAGATAAAGAAAAAGAAATAACGGTAATAGATGAAGAAAAAGAAATAACGGTAAAAGATGAAGAAAAAGAAATAACCGTAAAAGATTAA